CTAAAGCTGCACTAGGTATACATCACATATTAGCACAAAAGCTACTATTTTGATATTTTGAGCACTCAACTGAAAATGTACACAGAACGTATCAATCGTACTTACAGGTTGTGCTTCGGAGAGCTTGTTAGTCCAAATTAAGAAGATAGAAGAAGCCAACGAAGATAAAAGCCAAGATTAGAGAAGCAGTCCTTGGTAAAATGACATTTTGAATTGTATTTCTGTGGTATCCTTGAACACGGCGTCTTCTCGACATGATGTAAACACACTAACTAGCGGAAGTGTTTGTGGGCAGGTCAGACTCTGTTCGTATTTCGCGGGCAGGCTGGGATTATGCAAATGTGTTACCCAGTGACGTATATCGGTAACAGGCAAAAGATTCGAAAATATGATGACTCATTTAGGCGATTCAGAATCGACTCTCTCTTTTGAGAGACAATATCTTTATTTATCATGCACTTTTTTGATTAACAACTTTGCAGATTGTTTTCATTTAAGGATAACTACGTTATAATCTGCAAAAGAGATATTTTTCAAAAACCCATATGACCTGCTCTTTAAGAGAACCCATCTTAATGCAGGTAATGGCAAGTGGTTTTAAATGGTATGTGTTTCTTTAATAAGTTTTTGAAAGTCCTGGCAGAATGGTCAGTTAAAGGGATAGTTCACCAAAATGTAGATCGTTTACTTACCTGTTTATTTTAGAATCTGTTTATTTACTTAAAAAAAAGAACGAAATTTTTTTTAACTGGTGCTGTTAATTATGGAAGAACATATCTGCCACAGAATAAAAAATAAAAAAAGGTAATTGCTACCTTTTTAAAAAAAAAAAAACGTCATAATTGTCTATTTTATTTTTTATTCAGTGACAGAAACAAAAAATCAATTGCAAGATGTACACTCAGAATTCTGAGAAAAAAAGTCGGAATTGTGAGATGTAAACTCAGAATTGTGAGGAAAAAAGTCAGAATCGAGTTTATACATCACAATTCTGAGAGAAACAAAGTCTGAATTGTGAGATTAAAAAGCAATAACATTTTCTTCTTCTTTTAAATACTGTGGCAGAAATGGGTTTCCTTAATAGCAGAAAGCCCAAGCTGCTACATAAGTAAATAATGACAGAATTTTCATTTTTAGCTAAACTGTCCCTTTAAGGTTGGAATGTAATTGTAGAAGTTCTAGAATCTATTTTAAAAAGAGCTGATTTAAACAATTATATTTGACAGTAATTGCAATAATTGTCAATAATCTGCATTGATCAGTATATTTATCTCTGTAACTGAAAGTCTGTTTGGCGGTCATGACCAGCTCATTGTGGAGGCACTATAACAAACCTGCCTTAAGTGTGTAATGCAATAGAGTAGCCATGATCATGAATGTGTAGATTGAAATTACGGTGGCATGGTTTAATGGTTAAAGTTAATGGTGATAATCTGAGCAGAGACCATCACCAGGAGGACTTTAAAAAGGACTACTTTTTTCCTGCAATAATGTTATGCCAGATGATGATTGGTCAAGCCTTTTTATGGTTTTGCCACGAATTGAACCCTGTTGTTGGTGTTCTTTACATGTTTTTCATATTGCACCTTATTGCACCTTATACCCAACAGTGTCCTCAAAAAACTGAGGATGCTTGTTTTTTTTTAAGCCCCTATTAATATAATGAAACATATTTAATCTAATTTTCTATACGATATTTATTTAAATATTAAAAACTTCCCCAGAAAGTTTGAAAGATGCATATAGCACTTGCATTATGGTCGTATAATAATTTGAATTACCACCGAATTCCCTTTTTACTTAATTTTTTGTGTGCACTTTATTTGAATATTAAAATCGTGGAACAACAAGTTTTGGATAACACAAGTTTTGTTAAAATGATACTGCTGAAGGCTTTTTATTATGCCCTTCTTTGTTTTTTATTTTGTTGTTTTTTTATTTCTCTGTCTCTCTCTGTTAAACTAAAGTCTTATTATATTTTATGTAAAGTGAAATTGCACAGAGGTAAATACTCCTCCATCTCTGAAGATATTGTAGTAAGTAAAAGGCCATTGAAGAGCTCAATGATTACATTTAGTGCATCTGAAAGAACACGTTTCTCTTACATGTTGTGAGGGAGAGTAAAAGATGTAAGAATTTTTATATTTTGCATACTTCACTAGTGTGTTTTCCTAGTGTGCTGCTTATTGAGAAAGATTTGGGATGTTTGTGGCCTTCTTATTTTTTATTTTTTAAATATGTATATTTAAGGGATCTTGGAAAGAGAGAAAGATTTATATTAAGAAGGATTTGTCTGCTATTTTAGTTTGTCCTGGTGTGTGCTATCCTTTGTAATAAACAATAAGTGATAGCAAAAGTAGATTTGCACTTCAGAATTTGGGTAGTTTTTCTTATTGTCTTTCATTTTTAAAGAAACCACTCTTCATGCGGTTATCTTGGAAAGACATTTTGAAACCAAATT